TCAAGGTGATTTAGATATGAACAATTTCAAAGTAACTAATTTAAAATCTCCGGAAAACGATAATGACGCTGTTCACAAGAAATATTTACGGGAACAAATAAATTCAATTGAAGTAAATAAAAACCATTTAGAAGATAAAATAAGTAATGTGAAAAGATTCTTCAAACGTCAACTAAATAATAAAAATTTTATTAATGATACTAAACTACAACAAGAGGTAAAAAGATTAATAAGTTTTATTCAAAAACAATTGGTCAACGTAGCGAATAAAACTGAGTTACAAAATTTAATTTCATTAATATCTAAATTAGAGGATAAGATTGCAAAACAAAATTTAGACATAGATAACATTCCAGATGAAAATGAAGATACGTTTCAACAGGAATTAAAGCTCTAGAAACTAAACTTAACCGTGAATTACAAAAAGAAATAAGAAATATTAAACAACAAATACAAAACATAGATGATAGCGAAATCAAAACCTATATTCAACAATAAATACAAAATATTGATGATAGCGAAATCAAAACCTATATTCAACAACAAATACAAAACATAGATGATAGCGAAATCAAAACCTATATTCATCAACAAATACAAAACATAGATGATAGCGAAATCAAAACCTATATTCAACAACAAATACAAAACATAGATGATAGCGAAATCAAAACCTATATTCAACAACAAATACAAAACATAGATGATAGCGAAATCAAAACCTATATTCAACAATAAATACAAAATATTGATGATAGCGAAATCAAAACCTATATTCAACAACAAATACAAAATATTGATGATAGTGTTATTCAACAACAGATAACCACTATTAATAACCTTGTTTTAAAAAAGGACAAAAATATAGTCGCATTAGAAAAGCAATTCAAGCAAGAAAAGAAATCATATTATTTCAATCTTCCATTTGGAAATTTGGGACATGGCGATGGTTCTATTACTAATAATTTTCATATAAAAGAGTGTGAATATAAAAAGTATGGATTTAAAGTAAATATAAGAGTATTTTCTACTTCATTTTTTCTACCCCCCATAATATATTTAATAGTGATTATCCATCAGATTCTATTGCTAATAATTTTCATCTATAAGAGTGTGAATATAAAAAGTATGGATTTAAAGTAAATATAAGAGTATTTTCTACTTCAAATTATCTCCACCCCTATAATATATTTAATAGTGATTATCCATCAGATTTTACTTTTAAAGGAAACCTTGTAATTGAAATTAATTTTCCCATCCAGGTAAAAGTTGATTCATTATTCTTCAAACACTCACTTTCATCTAATAAAAAATTTAACGCTCAAAAAGCTCTTCAGTTTATAAATTGTAGAGACAATGTAGAAATTAAAGAATATGAAAGTAACGAAAACACCAAGGTTAATCACTTATATGAAATTAAAACGAGTGGAAAATATATAGATAGGTTTAGAATGTTAATCATACCAGATAATAAAGAAGATGTACTTTCATTGAGTGATTTTGATATGATATTGCAGTCGAAAACTTCACCATCAATGAATATCATTAGAAATCCAGAACCACAAATAGAAGAATCATTTACCAATTATGACTTTTTACGAATGACAAACTTTGAATACGTAAAACTATTTTTTGTTAATAAAAGTTTTTCACACGAACATACCTCTTTAACTGATTTATTTACCTCAATCGATATTCATAAAAGTCAACAAGATAAACAATTTATAATATTTTCATCAATAACTGAACGTAATGATGGAACAGAAGTTGGAGGTATATATACCTGTAGATGTATGATAAGAATCAATATCGAAAAACCAAAATTTTCAGTTCATCTGAATAAGATTAATGATTCGAAAGAACAAATATCCTTAGTAAGTGTTATAGTTGTTTTTAATAAACCTGAAATAATTATAACAGATAATGAAAAAATAAAGAATGCACAACTTATTGGGCAACCTATTAAAGATGTTAAACACTTTCCATTTTTTTGTGTATCAGAAGTTCACTTAATTTAATTACCTAAAAAATGGAACTTGAAAGCAAACAAAACTACATGATAGAAAAACAAAATGAACTAAAAGAAAAACTAAAACACTTTAACAAATGTAGAAAAACATGGAGTAGAATTGATTCTGTTTTCAAAACATTAAGCACAGTTCTAAAAGTAGGGATAACGGTGGCAACAGCTGTAACTGGTGGATTAATGCTTCCAATAATTGTATTAGCCGCGTTCACTGCCGTTCAAACTTCATCTTGTGGATTGATTACTTTAGGTTTTACATCAAAACAGAAAGCTCATTATAAAAAGAAAACAGAAATTTTAAATACATATCTTAATAAATTATTCATTTTTTTCAAAAGATCGAGAGAAGATAAGAACATAACCATTGAAGAATTAGAAAAATTCAATGAAATTTTAGATAAATTTGATATAGAAATATCATCAATAAAAGTTTAAAATTCTTAGTTAAAAATAGTTGCTTAAAAATATGAATAAAATTGAAAACGATGAAACATTCATATCAAATGAACTTTTTTCCAATGTTATTAAGATTATCTCTGATAAATTTAAAACATTTAAAGGGCAAATTGAATTAGATGGAGAGATAATTCAAGATGGAGGACACAAACAATACATGAAATTTGAAGGCTTTAATGCCAAAACTTTTCACAATTTCTTCGCAACACTGGATGTAAAATCGGATGCTTCTGATTGGTATTTCTCAGGAAAAATCATTTTACGTAAAACAATTTCAATGAAAAAAAAGATCAAAAAAGGGTAGTGGTGTTACCCTACTCAAAAAGATCAATGAATATAGCGGTATAAATTGTTATATACCGAGCGATGGATACTGCTTAAATCGTGTTTTAAACGAAGACTACACGAGAGAATTTCAAGATTTCATCAACAGTTTTTCAAAATCAAACAGAAAAGGAGTTATGACAACTGCTAGAATCTGTGAATTCAATACGAAATTTAATACTTATTTTCAAATTTATATGCCCAAACATAGACATTTTCAACCAAAGAAAGTATCCGAAGAATTAGATTGGGTATTTTACTTACATAAATCACATTTCTGTCTCATTA